ACAATAAAAGCTACAGTTTTGATCATGAAACTAGTAAACATGAAATATCATCTTATGACGTATTATTGGGAGGTATAGAGTGGCAACTGATATTTATATCATTTTATGTAAGTAGTCTGTTATACTGTTGTAAAGATTTACATTATAAGTTATCAGAACTTTATAAGATATTCTCACTATATCATACTATATGGACCATAAAATCCTGATGTATCAAATATGATACTAAGCGAAAAACACATGCCAACTGAGATTTTTTTTTGATTTTGATTAAAAATGTTCCATTTCAAATATATCTGCTCGTTACACTTATTTCTCTGTTGTTCAGATGGAGGGAAGTGGACATTTTAGCCAAACCACTGGCAGAGGAAGACAATAACATCCCGGTATAACAGCCTTCTATTTTTTCCTCCACTCATTTCATAATATGTATTCCAATTCATCCTCTTGTCGATCCTTATTAGTAAAGTGCCCTAATGATTCATCCGTGTAGGTGGAGAACCTATCAGATGCCTCGTTCACTAAACTCCACCAGCCGTTAGAGGAGCAGGAGCGCTCGCGCTGGCGATGGACAGCTCTCGCACCCGGCAAGAGGAGAGGCAGCAGGTACCTACCCTATTTGATCTTACCAGACAAAATGTTTCCTGTTTTGTGAGTTTATAGTTAACCATGTCTTTCCTCAGGTCCTATAAATCCCTGGACGGGCGAACAACACCATCAATTGTGGGAACGAATCCTCCGACGCCTCAGCCCTCATCCCCGGACGCAAGTCACTTTCACATCCTGCAGGACTACGGGCCGGTGCCGTCACCCCTGAGCCCCCCCAGCCCTGACACGCCCTGCTCCCGTGACGCACACACACCTCACACCAGAGACACACACAGACTGCTGTACAGCGAAGACACGTGCGGTTCCACTTCAGACTGCACCTTTGAGGAGACGGTAACACGCGTGTTCTCCTGCCATTTTCATGATCATCATCCTACTCATTTTCTCCACAGAAAAAATATACTGTTTTATTTTACATTCTGCTTTCTAAAGAGCAGTCTAAAATCAATGCAAATGATTATATTGCAAGCGGTAGTATTTTGGGAAAAGTGTTTATCTTTGAGTTCATCTCATTGCCACTGTTGCAG